ACCCCGGGATCATGACCTGAGCTGAAGGCAGACGCTTAACGACTGAGCCACCCAGGCACCCCACTGTGCCTTTTTATTTTTTATTATTTTTTAAAGACTTCATTTATTCATTTGACAAAGAGAGACCAGCGAGAGAGGGAACACAAGCAGGGGGAGTGGGAGAGGGAGAAGCAAGCTTCCCACAGAGCAGGGAGCCCGATGCGGGGCTCGATCCCAGGACCCCGGGATCATGACCTGAGCTGAAGGCAGATGCTTAACGGCTGAGCCGCCCGGGTGCCCCCACAAGGAGGTCTTAAATTCATTGTTCTGGAAAGCTTAGATGTATTTAATACTAGTACACCCCCGCCCAGCCCCCAGGTCCCCTCCCATGGGTTCCCCCGTGCCTCCCAGCGCTGCTGTGTCTGCAGGGGGAGGGCGGGCACGTCAGAGGGAGGTGTGTGCCTGTGTGCGCGCGTGAGCACATGTGTGCGCATGGACGCCTGAGCCGCGCACGTTCTCTCTCCGCCAGGGCACCGGGCCAGCCCAAGATCGACCACCTGCGGAGGCTGCACCTGGGAGCCTACCCCACGGAGGAGTGCAAGGCCTGCACCAGGTGAGTGCTGCCCACCTCGGACCCCCTCCGTCGACATGGGTCACGGGAGTGCCTCCCCCACGGGCTGCCAGGTGTCCCCGCCTCGGGCACTGGCGGTGAGCAAGTGTCTGGGTATGGGTGAGCACGCAGCTTGCGGCTGCCCTGGGGGAGCGCTCAGGAGCCCAACAATACAGAAATGAAGCATGGGCCCTGTGCAAATACGGCCCCAGTTGTTGCCAGAGAACCCTGGATGCGGGTTGTGGCTCCTGGGGTCACTGCTGCTAGGGGGCGGCCGAGCCTCCAAAACCCCACAACCCCACCTCGTCTGCTCATGGAGGTGAGGGGGCGATGCCTGAGCTGGGGTGGAAGGATGTGGAGGAGCCAGCTCGGCGTTGGAGGGGTGCCGGGAACAGCACTCTTGGGGGGGGGAAAGCAGCATGTGCCAAGGCCCAGTGGCAGGTGGGAGGACAGCCCAGCCAGGGCTCACCTGCCCGGCTCTGCCCCCAGGTGCGGCTGCGTCACCATGCTCAGGTCACCCAATAAGACGACAGCTGTCAAACAGTGGGAGCAGCGCTGGATTAAGAACTGCCTGTGTGGTGGTCTGTGGCGGCGGGTGCCCCTCAGCTACCCCTGACCAGGGCCCTCGCTGGTGACACGGCATTCCACACACTCCAGACCTTCATTGGGTGCTTTGCAAAATAGGCGTCCTGGAAGTTGGCTTTCCGGGCCCCATCACTGGACGGGGCAGGGGAGGACGTGGCCTGAAGCCTCACGTTGGTGCCCCGCGGCCCCGTCGGGACTGCTTTCTCTCCCTCGAAGCCTTATGGTGGATCCGGGGTGGAGGGGCCCAGCCACCTGTCCACCTGTGCCAGGTGGTGACCGAGACAGGCCTGTGGATCTCACGGGTTCAGGACCACAGCACGCGTGGTGCCCTCCCTGAACGCCCAGGCCTCAGTGGCCCCTCTGGGTGCCCCAGATCCTGGCTCCGAGGGTCCGGGATGCCCCGGGCCTCCGTTCTTCAGAATGTGCCACGCAAACCTGTGAGCCGCCGGGACACCTGCTTCCGTCTCCTCACCTGCTCCTGCCAGCGCATCTGGGTGGTTCTGACCTCAGCAGGCCCAATAAACGTCCTGCCGGTCACAGGTGTCAAGTCGGCGCCGGGTGCTGCCCCTCCCCGTCCCCGCCCCCCAGTTCTGGGCTCCTGTGCCTGCGTGTCACTGTCTTGCTGTCAACATTTATGGAGCACCTACTGTGTGCTAATCACAGGTTCCTGCAGGGAGTCGTGGGCCGGGCACGGTGGGTGGGCTTCTGTTGATGTGTGTGTCTATATCCGTTTTCCCTGCCTCCCCACTC